TTCAGTTACTATTTTAAAAACCTGCTTCTTCTGCATTCTGAATTTTTGTGTAAATTAAATTTGGGAAGAAATTTTCCTGCCAATATATAGCAACAGACAGAGGTCTGATGAGGATGCAGGAATTTGGTCTGTCCCACATTTGATTGTTGCTTGTCATAAATGAAGTTTCATTCACGAGATAAAAGCCTAATACTTAATGTCCTTGAGTACTCTGTTGCTCATGGATACCAATGCTAATACCATCGTTAGCAGTAGTGCCATTGTAGCCCCCCTATTTTTGGTGCTTCATCATATTTTCTACTTGTCAAGCAGTTCACTTAAGTATTTATAATAATTGTAAGTATTCTTTTTCACCGAATAAATAATTACCTTTACTCGCTTAATAAGATTGCTTCTTCATCAAGTGGATCATTCATCATTATTATTGCCTAAACTCTTCGTTCACTTGCAGAAAAATTTAAAACCGAGCAATTACTTTGAGAAAATTTGTTCCTCATTTTGCTTTGCAAAACTTTTCCATTTTGAGGAATTTAATATTTTATTCCACATTTGACCTTTTAAACCGCAATTAAATAGCGTCTTCGTAGAATCTGAAGAATACAAATAGAAAATGAATGGAAATTTGATGATGGGATTGAAAATTTCGCTCACGTCACTTGCCTCTCATGCAATCAAAATAATCACCTGTCTTGAAGGACATCTGTTGAGATTAGTTTGTGGAGAAAAATTAACTTTAAACTGTCTTAGTTTAAATTATTAAAAAAAATGAATAATATGATTGAAAGATTTTCATCGTTTCCTAAAATGCATGTCAACTCGAAACTTTACGCGTCTAAATTTCTGAGTATTTAGGATAATTTTTTCATAGGTTAGAAATCATCAATTGTTTGTGCAAATCTAGCGTATACCTCAAGTATTATTCTGCGTGTTTTTCGCCTATAATCTTCAAGGATCGAAAATCAATAGATATTTCAGAACATATCTGAATAACTGTCATATTAAATCATTTTCTGTGTTCATGGCTGAAATTCAGTATTGGACTTTTCCATTTCTGTTCTGTTCTGTTTCTATGGGAACATTGTGAAACGTCGGTAGCAAGTGCATTAAGCCAATTTGAGATAAATCTTGAACGATTTACACTTTGTCTAATATAAAATATACCTGTAGTACGAGGTCTTTACATTGCATTTCTTCTCAGAATGCTGCGTTTAACACATGTAGTTTTATCGTGTTAATTTGAAAAGGGATTGCATTACTTCAAGTGTAACATTTCTCAATTTGATATATGAAAGGGTTTGTTTTAAAGCATTAATGCGATCTCAATCCATCATTTATTTGTGCACTTGTTCATACATCAGTTCCATCTATCATTTTTTCTTATTTCAATTATTGGTTTTTCAAATGACTTATTGATCCAACAAATCAGTCAATACTTTCATGCTGTGTCTTTAACGTATGAAATTTGAAATAAATTCAAAACGACTCAACGACCAATTCGTTGATCGATTTTTCAATTGACAATTTGTGGTTTGAAGAGATGGAAAGCAGTAGTGGATGAGAGAGAGAGAATGGATATTTTCGTTCTTAATCTCAACGATAAACTATGGAATGTTAATAATTTTCGTCGCTAAATAAAGTCTTTTCGACTTTTATATGTTAATTAAAATTCATGTGCATTAATTAAGTCATTTGAAAACACATTTCACACTTTTTCTATGGTGATAAATGAAATTCATTTCAACTTTTGTTACACATGTGATAGGTGTATTATTTGTAGCATGTTTAGCATTTTACATAACATGAATTGCATTTAGATTTTAAGATTGATCTGTAATCGATTACATGAAATGATAATGTTCTAATGCAGTTCAACTAAATCTTTACATCAAAGGTTACAAACTTTTTGTTTTTCAGGAGAAAAACAGTTGAAACTTGTTTGCTGTGAATTGTATCGCATCTTTATCTCACACTCTCAAAAATTGGATTAGACTCGATCAATTCGTAAGTTTTAATAATGTTATTTTTACACGCGCATGTTTAGTAAATAATCCATAATACTTTGCGTAAATTTCACGTACTTTCATTATTATTTTGCTTATCCAGTAATTTCTAATCATCTCGTTCATTTTGATTTATTGCATTTGATTTCAAATTCGTTATTTGTTCACTCTGATTATTATTATTTATTTGCTTATTAATATTACAATAAAAATTATTACATTCATATTTTTTTGGGTGTAAGCTTAATTTGTTGTTTATGCGCTTAACTTTGAATACTTTGAATTCAGTTTAAGTTAATGTGCATTTACTTTTTTTATTTAGTGGTCAAATACAGACGATGATCAAATGAGCAAATAAATGTCAACTCATATTAGCATGTTATTAAAGGATTAGTCTAGTTAAACAAAAGAATTAATTTACAGCTGATATGCACATCTTTCGCATTCTCTGTCTGTAGATGAACATATTTCTTTTTCAACTCTGAATTCAGTTACGATTGTTGATTAAACAAAATTGGATTGACGGTTTCGATGGATTTCTCAGTCTCAGCAAGCCAAATTGGCTACTCGTTTTCCTCAAAATAATAAATCATGGCAATAGCTCATTTCTGATTGACAGCATATGTAGTGCTTGTTTACTTTTTGTGGGTACGCGTATGTGCGAGCCTGTTTAAACGCATTAGCGTTATATACATCAGATAATGAAACAGTACATAAAGTGCTGTGAAGTATTTGCAGTTTTATAGTAAAAAGTAATTTGGAAAAATGAAATTAATGTGGTATTGTCAATAAATGGCAAAGAGGACGAAAAGTCGTTAGGGCTTGAAACTGTTAATTACTAGTTTTTTACTTTTATTGATTTTGGACAGAAAAGAGAGTAAAATTGTAAAAAAATTTGAATACTGAAAGCAAGATTAAGTTTTAGTGAAGATGAATTGCTATATAATCTCAGTCTGCTTATTTCGATAAGCATAAAGTAGAGAATTAAATTGAAGTATAACTTATATATGAGAGGCTAATGAAAATAAATGTCTTGCATAATTCTCATCGCTAGAAACTGTTGTACAAAATAGTTACATTGCTTTACTATTATAGACTAGTGCTACCGGAAATACAAAATTAGTGATGTTTGTCTTTCAACAAAAATATCTCAAAGCTTTGGTAAAATTGGCGAGGCAATAGTTGAAAGATGAAATCTCAGGCAAGAACTTCAACGGAAAGTTTTTAGCAAGAAGTTTTCGACGGGGAACTCGGAGATAATTTCCGTTAAAAAGTTTTTGCTAAAAAGTTGGCAAAGGTAAATAAAACCCGTATGCAATTTAAGATTTATCGATTTTTCAATAACTATCTAATCAATAAACCATTACCGCAGATTTTTATTAAAAGAATTAAATATGCTAATACTATGCGGTTAATCTTTCCATTAACTTTCGTATAAATAGTGAACTGTTTTGTCAGTTATTTCTCATTACTGTACTTAATTTTTCTAAAATTTTTTGGCAAGACCTTCGTAAATTGTACATTCCATTAAGCAATAAAATAATTAGAGGAATTAAAATCTGAAACGACCAGCTCTTTTTATATTTTTGATAGTATCTAATCTACTTCTCAACTTCTCATGAGTAGTATTTCTTGAAGATAGTCAGTCGACTTTCCACTGTCAGACAATGAAAAATTCAGTAGACCTTTTAATGCAAGCTCTCAAATATTTGTTAATTTTTCTTTGTGGAAATTGATAATAAGAGGTTATTTATGCGCATGAAATTTTCAGTATAAATCGACAAAGCCCTTGATAACTTATAATTTAATTTTAAAAATTTTAACTTTTAGACAATAAACTAACTGTTATAATAAACAAAGTCCATGGATTGAAAATAAATTTTATTTTAGAAGAAAACTTTTTTCAATATGATATACTTTCCAAGGTGAAAATTAGGTGATAATTATATTCCAAATTTTTGCCCATTTTCCATCTTCCATACCCGAAATATAACTCTATAATTGAGCTCTGCGTGTATGCATGCGTGTTGAGTTTAAATCAGTACGGTCGCTCTGAAAATTTCTGTCGTAATCTGTTCCAGAAAAACTAAGAAAAAGAAGTAAGAAGAAAATTATTCATTCACTTCCATATAAATTGTTTTTTGCTTATTTTTGGTATTATTTAGTTGTCGCTGGCTCCATTACTTTTCTCTTGTATCTTAATTAATCTGTTGATCAGCTGATTCGTGAGAGTACTTGGAGTCCATGGATGTAGTTAGATGTACTTATTAATAACAATTCCTCATTTATAGTATTTTATTCACATAATTTTTCCTCTATACTTTGATGACTTCAACAGTTTTACTAGATTTTTGTTCTCAATATCGATTTAGCGCACAAACTCTGAATTTTATTTTTGTTCAGTAACCTGTGAGATTTTTAAAACTCTCTTGCATTTTCTAAATATGAAGGCTTCACCTATTCTATAATATTTATTATGATATCTCTAGTTATGAGCGATTAAAAATATTTGTGTTTTTTATACTTATCTCATAGTAAATAATCTTGTTGTGCAATATCAATAGGATTTAAGCTATTAGTGGATGAAGTATTCACTGTTAATATCCAGAAATAAGGTGATTTTCAATATATTTCCCATTACCAAGGACTTGACATGTGATACTATTCTTTGTAGGGCGTGCGGATTGCCAAATGGCGACGCCGCCAATATCCGCAGCCAAAAAATCTGATTGTGATCGACCCAAAGTTGACACTGTAAGTTCATTTATTATCTATAATTTCTCCTTCAAATATGAAAAATTTTGACTGAAGTTAGAATATACTTTTTACAATAGATTCTTGTATTATTTGTAGTTACGTTGAAGCTATTAAGATAGAAAAATGCAACATTAAAATAAAATCAAATATAACTCACGCCTTCAGAGGTTTGAGTGATTCAGCTGTTAAAATTAGTAGTAGTTGCAGCCATCTTTTTAATTTCACTATCACACAGTATTACAATTGCATTTTTCATTTCAAATTCTACAGATAAATCTTCGATTGATCTTAGTAAGTGGCAAGACGAAGGAATTTCAGTTAGCAGCAAATTCTTCTGTGCTGGATATAACGCAGTACGTCTTTGATCATTGGCCCACAGGTTAGTTGGCATTTCTTTTTGTGCATTATCAACAAATACATCCATATTCTACATGATTTATGCAATTTCACTGCACTTCGGTGAAGATTGTAAGATACTGCCTGATTAGGGTAGAGATATTAATAAATCTATTAATAGTTGCTACTTTAAGGTTTACAATATTAAGACACTTTTCCAGTTCCTTAATTTCTAGCCTCAATTAATTTCGAGAAAATTAGAAAAAGTTGTCACGTTGCCTTCAAAAATAATTTAGTCTCTTTAAATGAATTAAGATTCCATATTAATATCGACTATCCACGCAAATTCATGTGGCGTTTGTTCTTCAACATTTTCATAATCCTTTTATTGCAAAGAAAAGTCAGTGATATGTAAATTGTAATGTTACGTTAAGAATTCATCTAACAAAACTAAATGTGTGCTGAGACAATAAAATGTCATTTTTTACAGACAAAATTGCATAATGAACTTTTTATTAGACATGCTAATTTTTTAGCATATAGATATATGTACGTACCTTCGATACAAAAAGAAAATTGGCGAAAACAGATAGTCTAAAGAAAGTAGGAAAAATTTCATAAACCTTGAAAATTAACGTCACGAAACTATTCACTCAAATCAGATGGATGAAATCCCAATGCACAAACTGGCAAATGCACCATTTAATTGCGACAAAATATTTATTAATTTTGTACGAAAGAATGAAAGTGTTGCTTGCATATTTTAGCTTCTATGCATATGCATTTTACAACTTATATCTCATCTGAGTCTCTTTTTCAATAGAAGGAATAGCTTCCGTTAGTAATTCCATTCATTATTATAACTAGATTATAATGACGGTAATTAATAAACTACATAGGAATAACTTCAATTATGAATAAAAATTTAGTTTTCTAACCTTTAGTACCACTTTATTTCTCAATATTTCAACTTGCATCATAGTTGCGAATTATAGAATGGGATGAGGAGCGCGTGAATTCAGCTTCAATGCTGAAGTTGATTTACCACGGACGTTTCTTACATGGAAGTGTAACTCTCGGAGCACTGTCATTACCAGTAGGAAAAACAACCGTTATGCATCTTGTGACCCGTGAAAATTTACCTGAATCTAATGCTAATGGTAAGCCAACTTAACTGTTTGCCTGTAAAAAATGTCAATTCAAAATTTTTCTTCGGAGGTTTATTCAGGCAAAATTATTTTCACGAAGTAATACGTAGTAAATTTTATGCTGTGCCCGCTTTTTATACTGTTCTTTTGTTTCCACTTAGCAAGTGAATCATTCACAAGAACGACAATAGCGATGGCTAAAATTGTGTTTGCCAATGTTAATTCCAACCCACTTTCTATCCAATTCTTTTTAATCTGCTAGTTACCTTCCCTGACTGACATCAAATTTAGTTCTGTACTCGCTATTTAATGTGAAATTCAGTAGTAACAAAATAACTGTCATGTCTCTGAGGAAGCACTATCACTTTACTTATATGTTGATATTGTGACATCATCATCAGTTTTTTATACTTTGATACTGGCATCTGAAAATTTGCTCATCGTATAGGAAACGAGATAAGTTCCGTACTGTGAAGGTTCTTTAATAGTTCTCACTTCCCACTTACAAATTCGTCAGCGAACGTGCTTGACCTGAATAAAGGACAAACCAGATATTTCTAGGTATACTGACATAAAAACGCATATTATCTGACGGACGTTCTTCATTCTTGGCTGTACTGCTCAGTGAAAACAACTATATCCTTACAGATAGTATGAAGAAGATGAAACGGAATGCATGCTGCCGCTGCTGTCCATCATGAAATACGTAGAAGAACTTGTTAAATTGAAATGCAGCGGAAGCAATCAATAGAATGCAACTTACTCTCAGAAGATTGATAGCCTTCCTACAAATTCAACCTTCCACAGCTAACAATTCAGTTTTCAACCACCAAAGACAAAAGACGTGGTCTACACAAATATATGCATAAACGACCTCGAACTGCAGCAAATCAAGGTTCAATATTTCGCGGTGACTTGTACAGTATCTATATGATGGTGTAACACCTTTAAAGTAATAAAGATGCAAATTCGCCTCTATTTGTACATCATCACACCAAAGCTCTTACAAAAACTTGTTCCTGGTCCCTTTTATCTTCTCACTATAAACGGACAATATTTCCTCGACTACGAAATCGAGGAAATAAAATATGCAAAAGAAACAAGGGCCAACGCTTCATTCAGTATTTAAAATATATTTGGAACTGCTGTCACTAAATGAATTCCAATTTTCAAAGAAAGCAAAGCCATTAATTAATTAGGAAAATCCATGTGATTTAAAAAGCTACAAAATTTATCAATTTTTTGCCGCATCTATCCTTTGGAAACGAAAACAACGGGAAAATAGTGCTTTCTACTGAAACGAACCAAAAACATGAAATATTCTTCCTTTCAGTGAATACGTACTAACCGTATATTTTTTATGGGAAAATTAACCTTTGACCGAACAGAAATGAAAACAAATCTACAGGAAAGCAAACACATACAACCAAGAATCGGTACACAATAAGTAGCGTCAGTTAATGAAAATAACAACTCTACCACTCCATAATGGTGATAAAAATAGTCTACAAAATAACTAAACCACATTCTTTCCACTCGCCAAAATTACAAGCAGATAGTAGAGTGAAACATGATTATAAATATAAATTTATATCCCGATAAGTAAACAATTATTCTTTACATAAGATCTACACCAATATCGACGTAATATTTAGCAATAATGAGAAGGAATCAACTGAAAACAAAAGTAAAGATAAGGGCCAGATTTCTAATCACCTGTCGTAATGCATGCAGTTTTCCAGAACGTCATCAACGGATACTTATGTGTGATGCTTTTGTCCACTTTAACAATTTATTCTGCTCATGATAAGACGTATGTTATCAGTTAATTCAATGATAAATAGGCAAATGAGAGAAAAAATAATACTCTTTAAAGTACATTAGTATGGTATGAATGCTGAATCTATCTGCACTAACGTAATAATTAAAAAATGTAGTCAATAATATAAGTTGTGAACAAAGTATTGCTAAGAATTTTATAAAAACATTAAATAAGCTAAAACATCTCAAAAGAACCCAGAAATGTGCATACAAATGCAATTAGAAGTAAAAAGTAATATAGTGCAATTTTTAAGAAAATTCATTATACACTAGTGAAATTCTGACCTTTTCGAATGTACTAACTTTTGACGCAATATAATAACTTAGGGGTCTGAAACTTAAGAAATGCTTAGATGGCCCAGGAAGGAAGACTATTCGGCAAAACAGTAGGTGTACTTGAAAATTTTAACCCGTTTCCATAGATAGGGGAGGATTGAGAAGACTGAAAGCACAACGTTAGTCTTCACAAACTTAATACCAACAAGAATAATAAAGGCGAAATTGAGGATCCATGATAGGAACTCACTGAAGACGAAGTATAATAATAGAAGAATGATAACACTATATCATAAAACAGCGTAAAATGTTTGAGGATACCCGCATGCAACCCGTTTCATGTAGTGGCAGATAGACAGACAGAGACAGATGACAGATGGACAGGGAGATAGATACATTTATCAGGTACAATTATGAATAATCGCAATAACAAGGAGTGACTACTTTCATCATACCATCTATATGGCTGCCAATTCGGTCAGGTCTCATCTCTGGTATCCTCGGAAAAGGCTTTGCAACAAGCAATTCACTCAACTGCTACCTTCCCGATTGAATAATATCATCTTCGCGTTTTTGCCGAGCCAGCTGCTCCAACGTATTCGAGTATGGATTTTTACCATTATAAAGAGCCTGCTGAAGATTAGCCGCGTTGCCCAGTGCCATTAAGTTAGAGTTGAAGAGGCCAGCTGCAGCGCCGAGACCTTGTGGTAATCCGGCCGCAGCAGCAGCAGCAGCAGCGGCAGAGCCAGGAATACTTCCCGGCGGTGCACCCCCAGCCAATGTGTATGACGAAGGAAGACCGCGAGAGACATTAAACAGCTGTTGTTGCTGCTGACGCTGCATTTCCAGCAGTGCTTCCAGAGAGGTTTGTTGCGATTGTTGACGCATGTGTGCCGCAAAGAGCTGCTGTCGCATGAGCTCAAAATTCGATGAAGCTGTCATAGTATTATTACTACCTATGCCGGATGCACTGCTTAATGCAATCATATATCGATCCATCATTTGCTGTTCCATTTGCATGCGGACTAAATCAATGGACGAAGGAGGAGGTTGCGATTGAGGAGGCGCCCCTTGGGGCGCACCACTTACCGGAACGTGCGATCCTGCTCCAGCGGGATTAGAATTCATTTGCGCTGATGCAGCTGATTGCCGTAAAGCCTCCATCTGAAATAACATTGCTAACTTCGAAGAAAGTACTCTGAAACTACTCTTTTAATGAGTCAAACAGGTGGAACTTGTAACTACTGAATGAGAGCTTTAAACCAAATGCAAGTTACTGAGTCAGAATATTGAGAATGCTGAACCGTTTTCTCCTCCCAGAAACAATTACTGGCATAATTGATAGGCATGCTAATGTCCCCACTGTTGTAATCTATGAAAAAACAGCTAGAAACTAACTGATTGCATTTGTTGAAACATAGCAGCAGTCATACTGGGGTCAAACAGACGTTGAGACTGGTAAATGTTTTGTGCCTGCGACGTGATAGCTGAAAGAGGATGTGGCTGCGGTGCAGCAGCAGACGATAGCAAATAAGGTGTAGCTGACAAAGAACCATTTGGGAAAGCTGCAACTGCATTTTGCTGGACATTCTGCAAAGCAGCAAACATTGCTGCTTGAGCAGCAGCTTCACTAGTACCATTCGTGAGAGAAGCCGAGGCGGATGGTAAATTTGGTGTTAAAGGTAAGGACGAGCCAAGAACACCTGACAGAGGGTTGGGGAGAGATCCTTGAAGAGGCATAGTACTTCCTGCTCCGGCAGCTAGTGAAGGTGCGATTAGTCCGCTGGCAGTATTACCAGTACCACTCAGTTGCAGATGCAATCCAGAAGCAGATGACGGGCTACGAGTGATAGTCGTTGCTGAACGGTTTTGAGATTGTTTTGGAGTCCCACTAAAAATGGAAAAGTATGACTATAAAACTAAAGAGAAACAAGACAGCTAAATGAACACATAAGTAAGCAGACAGTCATCAATTAGGTTTGAGAGATCTACAAAGTATAAAACTGACGATAGCAAGAGCAAATATATGGAAAAACATAAGCCATCGTGATAATAATAAATTTCTTATAAAAGATAAGCAAATATTATTAATAAAAGGTCGCAAAAAAAATTTAACTGAAATGTACCTTCGACGAACTAATTTGCTGGTATCCGCGAATTGTTGGAATGGCAACGAAAAGGGTGAGGGCAAAGCGCCAGTTTGAGCTAATACGGGAAAAGATGATGGTAGTCCACTGCCTAGGCTGAAATTAACGCATTAAACGTAGACAACAACAACAAATATCGTCCACTTCCTATGCAACAAGCGGCTTGAAAAAAGAGTTACGCAAATAGATGCGGACACTGGTACCCCACAAGATCGATGGGAATCATTTTTACAAGCAGTCACAAAAACAACGCCAGACAAGCAACTCTTCCCATGTTTTGTTCTGAGCGTCATTACTTGACAACTAATATAGGCTACTTGAGAATAAAGACTTAATCCTGTACTATACATAAAATGTAAGTGATAATAACAGAGGAGTTAAAAAAGATTTTTATTTAAAACAAAATTGAAGATAACTATCAAGAAAACTTAGCTTGCACACACTAATTCGGAAGCTTATTTCATAAAATCTTGGTTCTTACTAAAAAATTACTAATAAAATCTTAATAATAATTTTACGTACCATAATTCACAACTGTCACCTAACAAGACTTCATATTGATTTGTTTATGCAAGCTAGTAAATAAATAATCATATCAGTCATCTTTTCTACTAGTTGTACAGCTTATTTCTACTACGCTCGAAGGAACTCATTATAAAAAAGAAAGAATACTCTCTCCCCAAAAGAGCAATTTTTAACCAGTATGTAGAACAGAAGCAAAAGAACACGAATGAAAGTGAAATAATTCTCAGAAAAATACCTTATGGAAATGTTTAACATGCCTTATGTGCTATGCAGGTAACTATTACGATAGACGACGGAGTTAGTACATTTTATTTTAGGCTTCAAGTTAATGCTGATCTCTTATTTTTCAAAATCATTCCACATACAGATCAAGTTATCAAAAGCCAAACGACTATTGACTTAAAAAGGCAAAGGTGATAAAGATAGGCCTTTACCTTGTCATGCTGGCATTAGAAGTTGAAGGTGGGCAGAAAGGTGCAGTGACACCTGCATTTCTCATGGTGTTTAGGTTGCAAGAATTCTGGGGAGGAGCAGGTAAAGATGCACTTTGAGATGCAACCGATGGTTGAGGAGTTGAACGACGTTCTTTTTTGGACAGTATGTCGTACGCTATTTTTATATGCATCCCACACCATCGCCCTTGCTTTGTCTGCAAAGCATAGAATAGTAATCACACAAGTTGAAATGAAGACGATTCACAATTATTTTTCTTTAATAACTGACAGATAGAATTAGATCCTGAAGGTTGCATTTATTTATTTAAATTCAACTTTCTTCATAAGAACCAAAGATAGAAATGAGATGTAGTCATGCACATAAAAAGAAACAAATTGGCCTACCAGAATAGTTAAACTGTTCTTATTTTTTACAATTATAAGAAGGATGGTTAACTCTTATATTTCCTTAGGGAAATAATTAACAATTACTGCACAGTAATCATTCCTTCAAAAAGATTCAAGAGTTGAGATAAGATGCATGCATTAGTCTCATTTATGGTACGTACGCCAATGATGATCAGCAAAAAAAGTGAACATTTTCAAAAGCTGAGGAGAAGAGAGAACATGAACATAAAACAGCATACACCAGCCATAACATCAGAGGAAAAAACACTTGCTACCTCGACAGAATAGCGCATGACCAAGAACAGAATGTAAGAAGGTTATGAATAGCTTACTTTTACAGATAAGGGTTGAGTAGCAGCAGCAGTAGGCAGAGCACGTCCAAGCAAGGCAGCATTTGCCAACTGAGGAGCAAGTGCAGCACCTGAAGGAAACTGTATACAACCTACTGAAGGTGCTGTAGAAGTCGAAGGTTGCGCTCCGGTCGGAACGGTTGTCGGAGGTGCTGATCCTTGGCCAATTGACATAGACTGAAAAATGAAACATTAACTGATTGTAGTGAAAAATAGTGGGAGCAGAAGTGAATAATCAACTTCAGCTCCACTACCATATGAATTTCTCTAAGAGTCTGCCTCACAAATATTTTGAATTAGTTGAATAAAAAGAATCACTGGTACTGCTAACAATGCGGATTAAGTTTCAACAGAGAGAAACAGCTGCTCAAGCACAGCCAGGTATTGCTCATCTCACTAAAAGTCACCCCAGCTGCTACTTACTCAGCTGCAAGATCTGTTCTCAATTGCTCCCTATGGGTAAAAAACGATATTAGCTAGCTAACAAACTTGTTGCGCCTGTTGATGTTGGTGTTGCTGTTGCAGAATTTGTGCAGCAAGAAACGGAAATGCAGCTGCAGCATTCGGAGGTGCAGTATGGAAAAATAAATTGCTAAAGTCAGCAGCCCCAACAGTGGAACCCGCTGATCCTGCAACGGCTGCCGCAGCATTTAATGCCGCAAGACTGTTGCCTCCAAAAAACGCCTGCCTAAATGGATCAAGCATAGGTGCACCAGCTGGAGATGCTGGAACTGTCGACGCTGCTAGGACTGTAGCACCTGTCACTACCGAACTACTACTACTACCAGTGGTAACACTAGTGGGCTGCTCACTTCGACCTGTTGAAGTTAGTACACCAACAGATATCCCTGGTGGTTCAGAAGTCAAAGAATTAACTGATGAAAGCGCTTGCATGTTATTAACTGATGGTGCAGCTGTAACACCTGCTAACTGTTGCGGATGATGATGACCTGCAACCACTGATGTTGACGGCACATCATGTCCTGGATCCACTGGATGTGTTGCTGCAACACAAGTTTTATTCTAATTTCTCTAAATTCAAATACTTGAGGAGTTCTAAGGTCAAAATAAGAATGGTGATAATATTATTAAGTACTAAGTATATAAACTCATGTATATTTAACAAAAACATTACTTACATTCCTTTGCTTTATTATATTTTGGTAAGTAGCGTAAAATGGAATAAAACAAAGATTACATCAATTCTGTTGGCCAAATGAGCAAAGAATTGTTATCATGATGTAAATCGCAGCATCAGTGTCTACATCACACAGCTCTCAGTATTTCAAACAAGTCAAACTCTGTATCAATCTTCCCCCATGTCTCACTTCCCAAGAAGAACTACATAATATTTAGTTTTATCTATGAAAATTTTAAATAAATGAATGTATAACTGTACTGCACAGCAGTGTTACGTATTAATGTACCGTTTTCTCTAAGAATTTGAAATAAAAGAGCAAACAAAACAAATATTTCTTCTTAATAAGGTTAGAGAACCTACTTTCAACAGATGCGGGGTCTCGCATATCAGCTGCACGAGGCAACTGCCCGTTGCACGAGTTTTGTCCATGATTACCCGTTGCAATAGACAAGTCAATGTTTGAGACAATGGCATTCGCACGTGTTGTTCCCACTGCCCCGCTACGTGGTGGTGATGCACTCATTTTCGTCATAGAATCCGTTTTCGATGCTATTCCTATCATACTGCTCCTACAACTAATTCAAATACTGAAAATACGAACAAGACAAATATTATATCAACAAGAGATAGTAAAAAAAGTCACTTTACAATCAAAAAATGCGTTAACTTCGAACTTACAACCACAATAGATAAGTATCATATAGAAATCACTGATGCCCTAAATGAACGCCTTTGCTCTGTCAAAAGGGGTCATTTGTGATTTCTCAATTCTAATTTTCCCAAATTACAAATAAACAAAAAGGGACAGAAAGCATAACTGACACACAAACAAACATCTATTATTTACAAGTTCCCTTTTCTTCACAAATAATTACAACCACAATAGTGTTTAGCGTATATACTGCATTATATGCAAAAAAATTTCAGTACCACGTGACTGCTCATTGAGTTTAGCAGACCTGCTTTTGAAAATTTCACATAGAAGAAATTAATGACAAGAAAGCCGAAAATAGCTAGCGAAAAAAAATTTATGGAAGAAATGATATTGAATATTGAAGAGCATAATCATAAATGCTTTTCTAATTATGCTATCTACCCGCTGTAGAGTGAACAAACTTGCTGCTGAGAAAACTGATACATACAAAGGAATACAAGCAAATCATTCTACACTTCAAATCGAGAAATAAAAAAATAATGCAAGAAATCTTTGTTATTCCAGTTTTTTATTCCAAATAATAAGCAATGAAGCTTCCCTTTTTTCAAGATATTCAGTTCTTTTACCTGCGTGAAAGAACTGAATATTTTGAAAAAAGGGAAGCTTCATTGCTTATTATTTTAAAAGAAATTATTCCTGAAAAATCAATTCGAGGTGACATAACTTATGAATAATCGGAAAACTTCTTACTCCAATTCATCTAAATTTTTTTGACAGACAATGCTTCATTGCATCAAGACCAATCGAAAATAGAATAGGTGAAAGGGAATAAAAGGCATACTTATGATCATCAGGAAGGTTCGCCTCCAACTTGATCCGTTTCTCAAACGTAGTAGCATCTATTAACAAGTCAGATGGCCGTTTCAGCATACCAGCTGGCAAATTGCTAGCGGTGGCATTATTCGTGGAGCACACCGAAATACCAGTGTCATTCATCCAAATGGTCCCTGCTGCTGCAACACCGTTCCCTTCGATATACGCCTCGTTCTGAACCGCTTCAGTTCGACTTAGAGACTGACGCTGCAATAAAATTGTTTTCAGAGCTGACCATGTTTTTTCATTGCACAATTAAGAACGAAACAACTTGAGTCCCTTCAATAGTGAAATAAATGAATACTCATTACAACACAATATAAATAAATACAAATGGTCACGGTAAGAGAACAGCAACTGATAAAATTGTAAGGACAAAACCGAGGAAGAGAATCAAATTAACGGTGTGGAGTGACAAGCGATTCTTTCTGATCTGAGCCTCCTCCTTCTACTAGCAATCGGAAATCGTTGAAAGGTATCTTTGATGGATAGGTAAATGAATAAGAATGATAGATATAAAGCAGCAGTGTCATACACGATGAAGCGATAACTACTACCAAAATACATCTAATTCGTTTACACATACTTCAATTGATTGGAAAACAAAAACTGAATCTCAAAGAATGCATAAGTTTGGGAATTCCGCCCACGAAGGAATAGTGAGTAAAAAATTGGTGCTCAAGAATAATTACAAGACTTCATGAGGGATAGTGATGTCAAAGACTACGCGCAATAAGTACGGAACGAGTGATGATGCCTTCTTGATGAAGAGTAGACATGTAGAAGATGAAGAAGAGGATCATACTACTGAATGTGACAAAAGACTGTTAGTCATATACAACAAAAAAATGTTGCAAAGTGTGCAATACCGCTGATAACGAGACTGATGAGCGAAAATGTGCAGAGGAAATAAAATCTGAAAAAAACCTGACTCATGTACAACGTCACAAAAATACAACCCCTACTGCCCAGCGCAATAAAATCCGTTATACTCCATTCATTTAAAAGTATCTTCACTCTTGCGCATTTCGGCCCATATTTTGTTAAATATACAAAAGCATAAGCACTTTAATAGACGACAAACGCCAGCTATAACAGACCATAATTGCTACATGCTGTAATGCAAAACACATAATTCATCAATACAATATATTTCTACCACATACATTTCTTCATTTCATCTGCATGATTATAATTGGAGAGTAGAGCAAGCCTCAACAACTGTAATACGCAGTGGAGAGTGAAGCAAGCCTCAACGACTGAAATATGCAATTTGTAATTAGATCGACAATATTTGCCAGAAAATTTTCAATTTGAAAAAGAAAGCAGTTAAATGACACGCTGATTCCAAGCACATACACACATCCATGTCACTAATAAGAGTTTAGAGGGAGAAAGTTATGAAATGTGCAGGCATAAAATGGTATGTACGTCCAAAGTTTGAAAGTAGCAAATGCAAATGCGATGAAAACAGCTATCTACACAGGAAGGAGGGGAAGGAATGCTCAGCAGGGAGGAGCGCAACAGTGGGTAGTCGAGGAAGAATAGTCGTGTTGTCGTTTTTGTGCAAACTTCAATAATAGGAATGGAAAAACCCACGACAAAAATGTGAACAATCAATCACTGCGAAACGTCAACCTTACACACACATATACACACATTCTACTTGTTTCATGCATTCATGTATTCCCCTCTCTGAAATGGTTTCGAGAACTCCCGACTACTCACTTCCCAATATTTCCCGCAAACCACCACTTCTCTCTAATTCCTTTAACTTCTCCCATAAATCAATAAAGTATACTAGTTTAAAACATAAATGGACACGAAACGATAATATACGCATTTTACATAAGTGCAACTTCCCGCTGCTGTTTGAGTATGCTTGGACATCACTTCATCTCATTTACAATGATGCAGTAAGCAAAGGTCACACAAGTTTGAACCAAAAAAGTGAACCATGATAATCTTCACAAACTGAAGAATAACACGATTCAGCGAAGTTCAGATGGACGCTGTGTAGCATGCAATTATAAGACACGTTCATAAAAAACAAACAATGCGGTAATGAAAAGAATACATGTAATGCTGAGGTAAATCTTCACAAAAGAAATATTCGAGAGTGATCAGATGAAAAGAGAAAAAAGCTATTCGACAAGTGCCCTTTTCAAGAGCAAGAAAAGACAAATAAAAGATTAGCAAATACCGTCCAGTATTCGGCAATCATTTATTTTATTTCTCTCTCTTCTCAACATTCCAATCAATCAATCAATCAATCAATCAACTTAATCCACATCCAATTAATCAGACTGCTTTCTGCCTTCAATACTCGGATTTCATGCGTGCTTCCTCCGTTAAATTCAAGCAATAACAATCCATTATTCAACACTGCCTGCAGAGATATCCTCCTATCAATTTCTTCATTAACTCTCTAGCTTGGATAGAACAAAATGAATTTATACGGAGAAGTGTGGAAAGATCGTGACGCAAGCAAAGTTTGCCCATACGAATATGCATTTCGCCATACAAAGCACGTTTCAAAAAAGCATGTATTACCACTGTTCGGCTACCTTTGATCCTTAATTTGGCCAAAACGAACAAAAACTTATTTATAACGAAAAAAATAAGGCATAACTTAAAAGCTAGCATTATTACAGCGAAGCGGCAATCACTAATCAGATACCAACTACTATCTAACTACCTAAGATGATAAGCAAAAGGAGTGATTAACAGAACCCCAAAACACGCAAACAGTGGCAAAGCGATAAGAGTGTATAAAGATGAAAAGACGCAATGATACACAAAAACATGTACAAAAAATTGCTTGTCGAGCAATTCCAAAAAGTTAGCTTTTTTTCACCCAAAGACATTAATGTTGCGTTAATGAGAATGTCCACGCACAGCAAAGTTGCTTCCAAATACCGACGATACTGTTGGAAAAAACTAAAATAACAGCAAAATGGAGCTATGAATTACACTCAGTTGGCTAACCTTTAAGAATATGTCATTACTGTGGCAAACTTGCGGGGAAAGAATTGTGACATAAGAAGCAGATGCGAGTATTCACTTAGAAAGCATAAGAAATCACTGATGAACATTAAAATGCTTTAGCATTACTTAGAGATCTATGCAAAAAGATGAAATCTACAGAATTCTAATTAAAGAGCGGTCTGATTACAAGATTCCTAGGAACGGAATGGTGGATTTGAATGGAAAGAAAAATATAATCATCTGATCACTATGATGTGATAAAGATGGTAGAGACGACTATGCCACATAATGTTAGTTATATGAACCGATCAATTAATGAGTGAATCCTTCTGCTCATTTTTTACTCTCGCTATTTTCTGCAGTAAAATTATCGAGTGTTTACACTGGTTGAGCGAAAAGAATGGTAGAAAGAATGAAAATGAACGAAAATTGAGATGCTTAAACGGAAATCTCAAATTATTTAATACAGAAATGCCGAAATAATAGACAAGGAAAGGGAAAAGATGCCAAATGACGATAACCGGAAGAGAAAGAGGAGAGAGGAGAACGTCCTTCACACAGCATTTTACTGAACAAACTACCGCCGCTGGCACCAAGTACTTGCATTCCTCTCCTATCCTTCTTTCCTCGTAGAGAAAGACTCCACAGCAACAAGTGAAGAGAAAAGAAGACAAGACAAGTGAACAACGGGAAACATCTGGAAATAGAGCAGTGAGGGAGATTAGAATTTGAACTTGAATAGTTCTTACATTCCTGCAGTGAGATAATGGGAATACAGAGGCATGAACCAAAGAGGATGAGAGATGGAGGGATCGGAGAAAAAACTGAAGTGCTCAAAAATTCCAGTACTAACTACTGCTGTTACTATTTCTACGCAGCCTCCTGAATAATGGGTTGAAATCGAACTGAAAGTCATCAATTCCTTTTTCTCCCTCAGTAAGCTTCAAAAAAATAAAAGCAAGGTTCTATGTGGGCATCCAAAGTCTGCTGCTGCTTCTGTCGCGAAACAACAAGTATTGCTTTGCTACTGATGCAGCGCTATATTCATTTCAACATCGACGTTTGGTCATGCTATTCAAAAAAGTGACCAACATCAACTAAATTAAAAACAAAAAGCCTGCGAAAAATGGTTACCAGTTCTAGTGAAAATATATTATTTAAAAGTTACGTCAAGCCAAAAGTAAATAATTCCATAGTCAAGTCAGGTGTGTGTTCATGTAACAAAATACATCTACATGTACTATATTATGCGGGGTACCCACTGAAAGAACATGGGGGAAATGGCGCAGCATGAAAGCAACTTTACTACAATTATTGAAGGAAATCTGCTAAGTGAACGAGAGAGAAAAGCATGGATGGCAAAGAAACATCTGAACTTGAAAAAGAAATAGAAAAATATAGTCCAAGGGTGTCTTGTGTGGTTGTTGAGGAAACGAAAAATCAAATCGAGTGGGAGGGGCATAGAGTGTTTCGCTCATTCTTCTAATTCGATTTCGCTTTCCCATGAATGCTTGATCATATACAAGTGACACATACCTAACTCGAGTGTATCACTCGCATAAGGTTCAAATCAACAAATTACGTGTGGTCAGTAATCAGTCAGTGATTCTTACTAACATTTATAAAATACTGAATGATGTTGACATCAGCAATGAAATAGCTATAAACAGCTGAACTGAAGTACATAACGAACTTCTAATATGGAGACGAAGCGGGCGGACTCTCTCATCGCTATCTTAATACCATCTTTCTGCGACACGCAAGGTACAATTTCAACCCTTCCCACGTGAGCTGCGTAAATTTATATAAGCTTGACTAAGCTGCACCCGTAAAAAATTATAACGAAGATAGTTTATCATGGTGTTGCACAAATGAACCTCCATCTTTAGGGTAAATGCACAGAAAGAGCTAAGCGTGGCTAGTGAGCCGAAAAAGTGACGGATATCGGTGCATTCCGGTAATTAAAGTGGAACAGATATCTCAGTAATGAAGTATGAATGATTCGTGAATTTGTATTCTTCAACATGATTTTGATGTTATGTAAAAGAAAAAGCGCCCTTTCGTTTACCTCGAAATCGTCTTCTTTCATCCTCTGAACGTGACAGTAATTGTAATTAGTTAAAGATTAAACTTAACTGATAAAGATTGTCCTAAAATAAGCTCAAAAAGAGAAAGGAAGATAAATAGCAAGTATTACAGCCCTTAAGGGAAACCCACGCCACTAAAATTGATGACACAACTAACCTGCTGTCGAAGCGACTTTTTCAATCCATTGTTATCTTTCAGCTTCCGTTTACGTTCTTTCTTTTCATCACCATCTGCCTCACGTTCTCGTCTTTCCTTTCGTTCACGCCTCCTTTCCCTACGGATCCGTCGCTCTTCACTATCCATACTTGTTCCTTCACGAGCCTCACGTTCACGTTTTTCCTTACGTTCTTGCCGCCGCTGTTCTTTTTTTTCCCGTCGTAGACGTCTCCTCTCAAGTTTTCGCTCCTTCTCTAATTGTGCTTTACTTTTGCGACCTTTCTTTTTGATCAAACCTAATCGTACATTTTGCTCATACTTGCGCCTCTTTTCTTCTGCCTCTTCCTTTGCTTTCACTGCTCTCAACTCGTCCTCGAAAGTCTAAAAAATCTAATAACGAAAAATAATGTAATCGAACTTGAAGCAAACAATTGGGCAAAAATGCTAAATGAACTTTGATTAGAAAATCAATATGACACTTATGAATATTGACAATGTCCGAATAAAATTAGTTTAAATTTGAAGAGAAGACGAAAGAACGAAAAGAAACACATTCGAATGCCACTCCAGTCTAACATTTGGGTGAAGGTCAATCTCATAGCCAGCTACGTTTCATTACAGACTAACACATTCATCATTATAAATAGTAAACATAAAAGAAAAACCAGTAAATTCGAGAAAAAAAAAATGCTGATGTCACCGGAAATAGAGAAGCTCCCTAAAGACCCTTACGGGAACCAAAGATCAATCTTTCCTTTACAAACTCTTTCATTACTTTCACTGTTATTGTCTTCAGTATTGCTAGCACTATCAAATTATTAGTGCTACCACTGTTGCTACTACTATCACTGCTGGCTCATTGAAGCTGACAGCAAATATGAATAGTATTACATAAAGAATGTTAACTGAAAGCTTTTAATGTTAACAATATCTATTATATTACAACGAACTTTCAGTATTCTTTCTTGTTTTTTTTCACTACGTGCTAAATAAACGAGATGTTTAACAGGAATTGTTGAAAAGGCGTAGAAGCAAGGATGTTTGTGCAGTAGTATGACTGCTAATACTCTACGTTTCTATAAAAAACATGGAGAAATATGGACAATAGCTATTACTGTAACTAGTAATGCAACAAATACACCACCTGTAAATCACCGAGATCTCGGAACATTAATAAGGAGAAATCATCAATGATTGATTCTTTCACCAACTTGATCTTATCTTTTGCTAGCAATGTCTTAACATATGACTGCGAACATGAACAGGAAACAGCATCCTGAAAAACTTGATTACTGAGTAAATGCAAATAAAATGGCATATCAGATAATTTCTTTACTTAACTAGAGTGTACATGAAATAACTCCTTTCAATTTTCAACCCTTTTCATCTTCTTTTTTCCTCTTCTTAATCATTTTTCTATTCTCTTTCCTAACTTTGACCTGTATACTTTAACTGTGTACATGTAGTCCACTAAAGTTGACCACACACAATAAGGCTATTTTTTTTCTATCGTGAAAAGCAATAAATATGAAAAATGAATGCACCTATGCCACAAAAAGATTGACTAATGTCCTTTAATAATATACGGTTTACCTACCTGAAAGAATATTTAGCTACACTGAGTACAGTAGTACAATGAGGTTTTCCTTCATTTGTTTGATCAATGATGCAATTGAATCAACTTATTTGTTCAAAGAATTTTTTAAAATGAATCGCTCATTGCATAACACATTTCCAAATTATTTTAATAAAAAGAAATTTTCTATAAGACTAAGACTATTTCTTGCTATATGCGAAGATGAGTCAAAATTTCTTTAGTCTTTATCACTGCTTTCAAGAGATAGAGATAAGCTGGTAAAGTTTTGTAACGACTATAAACTCTCAAATTATGATAAACGCTTTTTAAAATTCAATAAATTCTAATTGTAAACTAAAGCAATTAGGAGTTTCAATTCCGTCCGAAGGTTTTTAAAAAAATAAAAAAATCCATCAATGAACATGTTATTTTTCCTCTTCCCAACAATAATTTCTTATCTATTACAAATTCTGCTCAAAAAAGTTTTCCTTCATTGACTACAGCTTAACTGATACTTCAGTTCTCAAATGCAAGTACATGAGGAAGCAGAGAAAGAAAAAATAACCTGTAAACTAGATGATAAATTAATTCACTTAGTAATTCACGATTTCGTGCTCTCTCATCCAAAAAACTATCATAAACAAATTGGCAAACAGAATGAATGCAATGCGGCTGTTAACAAAGTATGCATTCACACAGTTCATACTTCCCATCAGTAAAATAACCTTCCACTTTCCTTGCTTGAAAACATTTAGTAGGCATTTTACACCGAATACATGGCAATATAATAAAATTTGTGACTATTCATGGCTGTCAATCACAGATAATCGTTTATAGCCTACTAACTAGTTGTTTCAAAAATGGTCAGAATCTGCCTGTGTGAAACACCCAATCATGGTGGTTCTAACCTCGCTCAAAAGATTAAAACATTAATTGCGTGATAAACCGGTAATGCTTGCTTTAATGAATATAATCAGTAACCTTTTTCCATTTGATGCATAACTGCACTCTTCCAATACATTTTGCAACAGAGAATTAGATGAAGAAGATCAACTTCTGATATTTTTTTTTTCGGCAATATCTTGCCACCAGGAAAGTTAACAAGCTAAAGAAAATGTCCTAAGATTTTATGATTTTAACAAGAAAATGAAAGTAGCAAAAGATATAAATAAATTACGGATGGTGATTTCTTATTCATTTCTTTCGAAGATTGCATCATTGAAGCAAGAGCTTGCTTAACAGTGGCATCCACGTTCGTTGCTTGTCCGTTTCGAACCGAACTTCCACGACGGCGTCCTACACCCTTTCTGAAAATAAAAAAGCATCACC